CTTCTCTCTCTGCCTCTCCTTTTCCCTTCCTCCCTTCCACTCTCTGTAAAACTCAATGGAAAAAATACCCTCGGGTAGGGTTAACAAAAAAAAGAATATTAATAGAATTATTGATGGTCACTCAAATGGGTCCTTAAAGTGTTTTTTAATATCTCCTGTTAGGCAAATTGCCAGTTAATTTAAATCTTTCATAGATAAGTTAGGAAATCTATACTCTTCATGATCACAAGCTCTTTTCTTTCTGTCTTTCTCTCTCTCATATACAGACACACTCTGCCAGCTGACTGATTATGAAGTAGATACTAAACATCTTATCCTACCAAAGTCCAACCTCATTTGCTAAAGCTTTTATAAAACAAAACAAAAAAACAAAAATCAAAGTATTTCAATAAATCAAGATACATTGACTTTTTGGAACTTTTGAGTAGTTCTTGTATTAAAAGTAATGGGAAAATGCCATTCAGTGCTGGAAGCTCATCTTTGCTTTCAGATGGGACCCTTATTGTCTGTTTAGAACTATAATTACAGTCTAATTATGTTCACAATAATTCACATTTTCATTCATGCACATATTCATTATTCCATTCACCAATAATGTGCTGTTTAAAGTAACTAAAAATGCCTTTATAGTTTCAACTGCAGATGTACAATTCTTTTTATTTGGTTTTATTTCAGAAATATAGAACTGCCAATTAAAAATAGTTTAAGCTTTTTATAATTGATAAGCTTATGAAATAGCAATTTAAATTATTTCTTTTATATAATAAATTCATATATCTTTTAAGCACTTACTAAAACATATATATACATGTACACACACATACTTGTAAGGCACTGTTTTAAGTGCTTTACCAATATTAACTCACTTTTCAAATAAAATGCGTAGTTTACTGAATTATATTTAAATCACAATAGCAATAACAGTAACAGAATATTGAATGTGCCAGGTTCTTTTCTGTACATTAGCCTCAATTCTTAAATAAATAAACCTATGTTTGTATACATATATACACACACACATATATACTGATTGAATGATTTGAGAGAGAAAGAGAGAACATCAATTTGTTGTTCCACTTATTTATGTATTCATGGATTGCTTCTTGTATGTGCCCTGACCAGAGATTGAACCTGCAACCTTGGCGTATAAGGACTACACTCTAACCAACTGAGCTACTCGGCCAGGGCATTATCCTCAATTCTTAATACTACCCTGCATAGTAGGTGCTTTTATCATCATTCCAGAGACAGGCACTGAGGATCAGTGTCTATAAGCCCAAGCTCACGCTGTTGATGAGTGGGGAGCCTAAGAGTAACAAAACCATGCAAAACTGTTACAACACCATGAAGGCTTGTTATTTCCCTTTTCTCTCCTGGGCCCCATTTTGCAAATGTGTGGTACAGTTAACAAAGACAGCCAGTGGAGGACCTAGTACAGGACTTGAAATTTTGTTTCTTCATTCAGTTCCTATAGCTGTACTATCTATGTTTAGTTTATACCATTCATACCATTCACTGGGTACTCC